GATCTGGAGATTCTGATTTTTGGGTTCCCGTTGAAGTTAGGGTTTTCTGCAATGTTCCCTCGAAGATTTTTTTTTTTTCTTCGTTTTTGTTAAATTACGCACGAAATTTTAACATCAACAGTAAACTTTTACTCTCCAGCCCATCATCTTCAAGGCCCATTTAAAAATAACTCGAACCGGTTTATTTCGTTTAAACCGAAATTACCGGTATATTCCGGTTCAATTGTATCCCGTCTTCTTCTTCTTCACTCTGGAATTTCTGAATCTGAATGTTACAAAAATATCTTTTGTGTGTATATGAAAACAACTCGAAACAATCAATCACATAAAGGGAAAGATATCAGAATCATTATACAATTTCCGGTTACGGAGACAATCTAAAGAACAGTAGAAGTCTTGTTCTTGCTTGAAAGCAACAGAATCCTGACAACGACGGTCACAATGACAACATAAAGGTCGAGAAAGCGTTGCGTTTGGTATAATCTCAAACTCTTCCTCAGGACGAATTGGCATCACTTCAAAGTCACGTCCCGAGTAATTTTTGTCGATTTTCTCACCAACACGACTAGCTTTTACCACGATTCGACCAGGCTTTGCTTAAGGAGAGCTTCCAATCAAACATGGTATGTGAATAGTGACACAACAATCTTCACATTTGTAAAACCATTTCTTTGGATCTAATTCTCCTTCGCGGGTTTCGCACCATTACTGTCCTTCTTCTTCGAGGATGTCTGTCATGCTTGTAGACTAGTTTATCTGGTAGAGTAACACATTCGAAACACATAGTGTAGTATGGACATTGGAGACAATAGAATACAAAGGTTGATGCTTTTCTGCAACTTCCACATGTTGGGATATTTGGGTTTATCAGGTTAACGAACAGAGGATGTTGATGGTTTTTATGGTGAATCTTCTCTGGCATCGAACCACACCGTACATCGACTTCGAAATAGTCCATATCTTTCCCACATACATACTTGCAACCAGAAGAGAATCGTCTACACATAGAGCAAAAGTAGAAACCTTTGCGGCTACTATGGAGATAGGAGAGAGTCATGTCATTATCAGCTTTCAAAGTAAGCGGATGACGATGCAGCGGATGCCATCTCATTCGCCGAGATTCGGCACATTCTTCGTGAAGGATGAAATCGCAGAGATCACAGTTGTAGAAGAAGGTCTTGGAATCATCGAAGTTGATAACAAAGTTACAAGCTTGACAACGACTCGTTTTATCACCATCTTGATTTGGAACTAGTCGTCGTCTCAGGTGATGTTCATGGCTGAAATGTTTGATGTGGTTGTCATCTATAACCTCGTATGGCTCAACATCTTTAAGCTCATCTTCATCTTCAGGGACATCTTCAAGTTCTATCTCATCCCAAACTTTCTTTGATGTTGCGCATAGTGCATGGACCGCATAACTGCAATCTTTCGTGCAGAGAAATGCTCCATACCTGGGATCGACATTGAAATGACAAACTCCGCAAAACCATTCCCCTGGAGGAAGATGAAGTTCTCTAGAGATACGGTGTTGGCGACATGAGATCCTTATCACGTTTGGTAGTTCCAAACACCCTTTATGGACCAAGAAATCGCATTGGACACAAGCGTAAATAGGAAAGAATTCGCCAAAACATCCACAGAGATTGCAAGTGAAGTGCATCTTTCTAGGGAAGATTGTGAGAGGATGATCATGGTTCTTCTTACCAGGATCCAATGTAAGAACAAGTTGTCAAAAGAGATGGATGTTCAAATCGCAGATGGAGCATCGATAGAAAGCGAAACCCATGTATCCATTACACGAGAAACAGTTGCTAGCATCCTCTCCATATTTGCGGATGCAAATCTGAAGAGGGTGTCTCGGGTGATAAGGATGGGTGATTTCTGAAGAACATGTTATGCATTCTTTGTGAAAGCTAACGTTTTTACAAGTGTAGCAATGATAATAATGACTGGATTTGGTATGAAGGTTACAAGCCTTGCATTGGGAATGGCCAGATACAAGGGTTAAAGGGTGTTCATGTGTATGTAGTAGTGAATCCATTGCTTTTTGGTTTCTCTTTTTCTTTACACAAAATGACTCCTGATATTTATGTAAAGATTTGTAAAGATTACACAATATCTTCTTATTTG